CGTCCAGATCAGTCAGTTCACGGTATCTGATGTGTTTACTCTGTTTATTCTGCTTCTTCTTTTTTCTTTATTGTACGAAAAGAAGCTGAGGTATACTTCAAGTGAGCCTACATTTTAGATTTGATGATTGTTTGAATGCATCACTTTCCCGCCATTTAAATCAGGCGCTTTTCAGCGGTCACACGTATGTACCCGCATAATTCCTACTTTGGCCTCGCGCCCTCTTATTATGGTAAGTTTCAACCTTTGTCATACTTATGATTAAGGTTTCATGGGAGTCGCCGCGGTTGGAATACCTCCTCCCTTAGCAGCTGTTGCTCCGACAGTTCCACCAACGGCGTTGGGCGCAGTTGCAGCTGTTGTAACAACGTCTACAACTCCAACGACCACAACACCGTCTGAAAACCCGGCGGTAGGCAGCTTTTTCCCAATATTATTTTGTAGGCGCAGTATGTGCGAGAGAAGCCTCCCGTTACCACTGTGTTCGTCGGCAATATTTCTGATCGAGCTTCTGATCAGCTAATGAAAGCTTTACTGATGGTAGGTATACCATCAATCACCTATTTCGCTTTTAGCGCTGCGGGAATATGCTCACTTGGAAGCGCGTGCAGGGCGCCTCTGGAAAACTCCAGGCTTTTGGATTTTGTGAATATGAAGATCCGGAATCAACCATGCGCTGCGTCCGTTTATTGAACGGGTTCCCGTTGGGCGAGAAGAAACTCCTGGTAGGTGTTTTGTTATGTTTGTGAGGTTTTCCAGGTCAAGGTTGATCCAAAGACAGAAGACTTATTAGCGGAGTATCGGAAAAAGAAGGAAAAGACAGGTGAAGAAGGCACGTTGGGCGCTACCGCGGATGAGGTAGACTCCTCAACACAACGCGACGACGATGGGGTAAAAGCCGCTTTAGAGGCGATAGTTAAAGAGAACGAATCACTACTGGACGGAAGTGGTAGGTTCCGTTTCCGTTAAATGATTTTCCTAGAATCACCCAAAAATAAGGAGAACTATTCTGAAGGCCCACGTCACCTGGTGAGTGCCTTTTATCAGTTAACAGATGCGCTAAGTTGTCTGTTTAATTGCAATAATGCTGTCTGCTTTACCTCAAAATTTGAAATAATCACGGTGGGGTCTCGCAATTGCCTCATGGTTGCAAACTTCAGGTGTCGCCGGGTGATCAGGTAGCGTCCTTGTACCGTCCGGTATACCAAGACAGCATATTCTACTGTCACCGTTTTTGCATTACGCACAAACCTAATTTCGCTCGGTCTGGACGTTACGAGGCGGCGATTGCCATTCCAACGTTGTCATATACATGATTTGAATGCTACTACTGGTACTGTGCCTACTTGATGTAAGCCCGTTGCCAGAATGAATGATTTGCGGCATGGATTGCCTCATTCGAGGATGGCGTGAGTCGCCCAGTTCACCAAGTATCACGATTTCTCTACCCAACCTCGTTTCTGTGGCGACTGTCAAACTTAAGTACTCTTGCGGACTGTCTTATGTACATGGTATAGGAATGCGTGATGTACTGTGAATCGAGTAATTAAACGTTTCTTGATGAAAAATGAACCGCAAGCATGACATTCAGTAGTATTCATCTGGCTCATATCTCTGAGAGTGTTATGTTTAAGATATGAAGTTCGGGGTAATCCAACCACCACTAATTAGGCGATGAAAGTCCATGCATTTCATCTACTGCAATAAGGCGGGTATCCAGAACTGTTCAACGGGCTCCAGTTCATTGCATAATCACCTTAAATGGGGCACATGATCTTGGAAACCCTAAATCTGCATGTTCAAAGGCGATTCCTGTACATTGAGAGAAGAAAAATGTTTTTCGATGTTAAACTTCCCTGCTTGATTTGGTTTTCAATGCGCACAGGATTATTCTTCGTGAGCAACGATCCAGTGGTTAATCATCGTCTCTTCATCTGACCCCGTTATTGGACTTGGTATTTTGCTCGCGGAGATGGAATAAAACAGGAGCTTTATACTTCACTGCATGAGTCGTTTACCACATGAAAGTGTATGTATCGTAAATCAACTTCGAACTGTGGATCGTTCCTGTTTTAAACTGTTATGTCACCGGGGCTTTTTATTTAGTTGAGACTGATTTGTCGTGCAAGTGAAAGCATTTCCCCTTATTTCTTTCCAGACTATGGAAGACATGGACTTGGACGACGAGAGAAAGGACCTGATCAACCGTGAGATCGAAATATTTCGGAAGAGGAATGAGGTAAAGATTTGTCCTACTTGTTTTGAGGTACTCAAGGTGTTCACGTCCACATGAATCTACGTAAAGTCATCGGTTTTCCTCAAAATCGCTATGCGGGCGTATGAGGTATGATAACCGTGTCAAATGGAGGTGCGTAGGTTTTGTCTGTCACACTTTATCTGTGGTAGCTGATGCAGTTCATTAACATACTGAATGGGACCCACGGAGTTTTGCTGTCCCCCGGATCTTCTTCGTCCAGTCCATTTGGACCTTATGTGGTGCACCCCCACAAATCTTAGGGCTCAAAGCCCGTTCCGTCAATTGACCAGTATACCCTCGAGGCTGAATCAGCGTCTATAATATGATCCCGAAGTATACAACTAAGTGTATTACGCCATTGGAGCGTGTCTCAAAGCAATTGTTGGTTCACTCGAGGAGGATTTTGCTTTGAATAAAGTCCATCGTTTATTGTCTTTCATTGTAGTTTTGATTAGAGTTGATTCGTATTTAGGCATTCGATTTGGCCTCTGGCCTAGCATATACCTTAACGGTCAGTATAGTGTATTTTGATTGCTTAAAAAACCATCAAGGTGACCACTGAGTGCACTTCTAGGTTGTGTTATGATTCGCAGTTGATCCGTGTACCTCAGCAGGCAGTTACACGAGAAGCCTTTTTTTCTCTAGGTTCTCTCGTCAACAAGCACCATTCATTATATGTAAGTGGCTGATAGGCAGCTTGTAGCTTTTCGCCCCTGTGACGCGAGCCCCTGATCTGGGACGTATTGGTTGACTTTTAGCTTGGTCTCTGTCGTGTCAACCGTCAGTTGTGTGCTACATGATCGTCTCGGTGAGTCTCTTGATAATACGCTTTGTTGTTTTAGGCCTTAAATAGCGGGGCGGTTCCACCGCACCGTGGAGATAAAATGCCGTATCCCCCTTTATTTTTCATTATTATTTAATGCCATTGTTCGTGACATCATCTGGCTTGTTGGATCAGAAGGAGGATCAGAATGAACCAGCAACCCGTCGGGTCAAACCCCGCGAAAACGAACGCTCATCGGGACTTCAACTTTATTCAAGTTACGTGGATAACGACCGGCGTGATTATCGTCGCGATAAGAATAGACGGAGTCGTTCTCGGTCGACCGATGGTAGACGTTCGCGAGGTACGATAACTCGTTCCCTTGTCACACCTNTTCAGGGAAGTCTCAAGTCGTTGATGAAGAAGAAGAGGCAATTCGGAAGAAACTTGAGAGAAAACTGCGTGAGAAAGAAGAGTCCTATCAAAAGGTGAGTGTTAATTCATTTCGATTCACATTTGTGATCTGAGTGTTCGAGGTTTCGATCATCAGTTACTCCGATTACTACCGTGATTTTGATCATCTTCGTACAGGTGAATGCAAGGCCGAATCATAAATGCCGCTATAAATGGATTAATTTTTCTATTGATAAGAATTTAGGATATGAAGAAATCAAGTTTTATACTTGACTGGTCTTCGCTGTTGAGTTGATCATTCCGATGTCTCTCGTTTGGCCCTTCATTTGAAGTTATAAAAAATAAATTTGAAAACTACTTTGATGATTAGGTAAGCGTTCGCTGACGCGTTGGCCCCTAAAGTCATAATAAACCCTACTAATGCATTACAACTTCGGTAACAGGACACTGCTGCCCCTAGTTGCACAATCCATTCGGGCCCACTTCATATCATGAACGCTGAGTTTCGCCTGTCAATCAAACGTCTATTATCGATTGAATATGATTAATTGCAGAATATATTGTATGATGTATGGCTTCGTGTAAGCATTAACAGTTTTTGTCTGACTAATTTTTTGTTAATTCAGAGACTTAAACAGTGGGAAGCTCGCGAGAGAAAAAAAGCTGCTGAATATGAACATGAGCGTGAACATGAACGCAAAAGACAAAATGAACTTCAGATTGAAGCTAAACGTTTACGGGAGTTTTTCGAAGATTACAATGATGATGTTGAAGACCCCAAGTACTACAGGTAAGAATCAGTGTTTTTATTGTTGTTGTTTTTTAAATAAATTTGATGTGACGAGCTCTAATAGATAATTTCACCCTCGTTTCCTGTCACCATTGAAGTAATAAAGAGTGGCCCGTCTATTAAACTTCCTCGTAGATGGTGTCTTTCTAAAAACATAACCAATTCCAGCTTCCTCCATGAGTCATTCATGGGCGGGTAGAAAATATCCATCGATTATCGGTGTTTATTTGGTGTGACGCACGTAAAATTGAGCGAATGGGTTGGTAATATTGAGGTAAATTGTCGTCTGTTTGGGAGTGTGAAGTTTGACATTGAAGGATATGGCAGCGTTCTTATCAGTTCTTATTGGACCGGAATGCTTGAAGCGGTATGTATGCACCGTTGGATTGTTCACTCTGTTGACTATAGAGGTTCACCCTCTTCTTCCTCAAAATGGGCCCAGTTTCTGTCCACCTTATATATTACGTATTACCACTAATCTTGTATGCACTGCCATTTTGGCAGCGATCAGTGAAGTTCGCTTCATTGTGTTACGCCGTACATTGATGATGAGGATAGATTGAATTTCATCGACGGTAGATCAGAGAATCCCGGATTGGGCTGCTTCATCATTCTTCTCTCTGGTGGGCTGAGTACAAGTTCATTCAAATACGCTGTATTTTCTGGCCTAGTTTCGGTAATCACTGTCGCATTTTGCAATGATCTGTATTTCACATGTCCTCACTGTACGCCAAACATCACGGGGGAGCAATCTTTATTGTAAAGAAATTCGTCCATGAAGATTGTTGTAACGTGAGTTGTTCGGCGCAGTTTGAACTCAGACAAATGGGAGAGATGCATATTGTCCGCTAATGTTGCAGAGTTAATCACAAGCATGAACTGTAACTGGTTAAAGCGTAAATAATAATCCATGAGCAAATGGCGAGACCTATCCGCGTATGTTGAAGTTGCATCAAAATGTAAGCGAACATTACGTGTTATACTCTGCTTTGTCTCTTGGGGTGACGCAAATGAGAGACACCCACAACCACAAGCCAAAAAATTCCGTAACTTCTTCATACATGCCAATGGTTCAATAATGCGAAGGGTGCCACCAATCACACTACATATTCGATTACTGAACAGTTGCGTAAGCAGGACAACTGAATTTTACGCATTTTCTGCAAAACCGTTTTGTCCTAACTATCCCTCAAGATCATCTTCCTGAGCCGGGAGTTTGCAGTGAACTGGCACTAGGTTACAGTTCCCTTAGGTTTCCCGTAGCCTTTGACATGTTTCAAACTGGTCCTCTGGGTTGGGGGTTCGACTGAAATTGACGTGTCAGTCGTTAAAATATGATGAAGGAATAATTGATCCAAGTAAATGGGCCTCCACTTCGCTTCACCCGCTGCCTTGCGGTTAGGTTCTTGTCAGAACTAAAGGCTTTGGTTGAAAACCCTAATCGTTCTGCTTAGTGGCTGGACACCCTGGCAGTACTCGTCCATCAAACCCCAACGCATATCCATTGCGGTTTTGGCAGCGATCAGTGAATTCCGGTTTCCTGTATTACCTGTACGATGATGTATTATATATTATATTTCACACAAGTCTGATGCCAGACTGTGCCAAACCAATCGTGGAACGATAATCTTTATAAAAAGAGAAGCTCCACGATTTGCAAGTGGGCCGAATACTGCGAAGTTGCCCAGGTCAAGGCACGTGAATTTTCTTGGTGAATCCACAACCGGAGCCTTTGGCTAACCAAAGCCTGACCCGCAAGGCAGCGCGGCGGTGCGCGAAAACCGCAATCTATTGGAAACCGGTGTCCAGTTTATCGGATCATACGCCATCAAACGTCCAAGGTGCCCAATACACCTCGAGCCGGTGACCATTGCCACAACCAGAAAGGTGTGGGTGTGATTCGTACATCTCTTGCTCTGTTTAGAATCAGGGTTTTTAGTCAATCCCCTAGGTAAACTCATTCGTTCACTAACCCGGTTATAGCCTCGGACATCGGCTTTTCGTCCTCTCACTTTCGTGCAATAAAACCGCCACGGGAAGGCAGTGAGTAGCATTTCAGCAGAGACTATTTGAGACGCTTGGTCGTATGAGACGGGGCATTTCGCGAGGTGCAAGGGACGGGTGACCAGCCACGACCCCAGACACCCACCCCCGACTATACTGATGATTTCGGAGGTACGATGATGTTTAAGTGCATTGTTTCTTTTCCTTCCTTTTATTTAATATGCAATAATATAATTTTCAGGAAGAGGAAAGTACAGTTCAGTTTTTACAACCATTAACCATCCACTTTCTTGCGCCGGTTTTGGTTGCTGTCTTTCGGTTCCCCATTTGAATAAAAGAGCAGAAAGAAGATAGAAATGTTGAAAGCAAATTCCAGCGGAAGATGGAGAATTCATATAGAATGGTGTTAGGGGACTAATGAGTGGATGCACGAGCGCCACTGTTTGCGACGTCCAGTGATATCACTCAGTGTATCTAACCGTCGGTAGGTGATGCTGGCGCAGTGGTTTAGTCGCTGTCACCAGCGTGCTTTGTACCCTATGGTCCGAGGTTGGAGCCACGCCACTGCCACCCAACTTTGGTGATAGACAGCTTTGCTGTCGTCCGGTTCAATACCCCTAACCCTGCGGGGCCTTATGTGTTTCGCAACTCCAAGTCCCAGGGCTTAGGCTACCGGTTTCCATCACGGAGCTGCGGGTTTTCGTGACTATGGGGCTCGCCTCGCCTGCTGTTCACCACACAAATGTATGTAATAAAAAAATCATCCCGAGGTCCCCAGACAGGGAGTTTAACGGGACTTATGTGACCTAGTCTCCTTGTTGAGATTTTCATTCCCTCATGCCAGGTCTTCGTTTGACCACTCTTGACCCTTTTCCAACCGCTATCTGCCTCGGCAAACGTTGCACGCCGTGGCAACCTCTCTGGTGACATGCGTAACACGCCCCAACCAACGTAATCTATCGAAGTCGATCACTCCAGTGGACGACCGCGACTGCCTATGCCTAACCTCAGCATTGCTAGTCCGGTTACCCCACCAGACTCGTCACGGTGAACCTGGGTGCTAGACCAACCCAATCTTGGAGCAACATTTTACACTTTGAAGGTGAAAAACGCATACCGAACATGGTTACACTGGCAGTCAAACTATCCAGCAAAGCTTGCAACTTACCTGGATCTTCACTTAGTAGCACAATGTCGTCCGCATACTGTAGATTAAAAAATCTGACACCTGGGAGTAAATCGTTACCACTAACCTCGCAAGAGGATAGGGCTGTTTCCGTAATAAAATATGTATTAAAGTTAAATGGAAACGGAGAGAGAGGACAACCCTGTCGAACACCACTTTCCTTGATGAACCGAAGTGAAAAAGTGCCGTAAGCTCGGACTCGGCTCAGGTTATTAGTTTAGAGTATTTGTAATATTGAAATAAACTTCTCAGAAAGAGGGAAGCAACCAACCGTTCTAGGCTCCAAACTCCGGTCGCCGTGGTCCGACAAAGGTGTCAGTTGCGCACCAGTCGTCATACTCTTATTCATTGACGGACATTCAAACTTTCACA